AAAAAAGACCAATTCGTCATCTCTATAAGTTACAATGGTTTGGTTTTCCGGAATAGATGCTTGACTTTTTCGACATTAATACCTCTTTGGGTTTCTTTCGCGGCGCTTGATTGATTTTCCTCGGTAAGAACTTTTTTTTTGGCCTCCTTCCCTCGTCATTGCCATTTTCTTTTTTTTTCTTCAATGCGTTTTCTCGTACTTTTGAGTGTAGTGGTTTCCTCAAATTTTCTAAAAATTGAAATTTCAATTCAAAACTTGGCAGACATCATTTTCTGTAAATTTGTTCATTTCCAAGGTGTTTTTTTTCGTAGGCAAAAAAAAAAGCACGAGTTGCATTTTTGTTTTCACGACAGCAACAATTTTTGCCCGCGACTCACGTCAGCAATATCCCTTCATGCACAAGTGCAATTCCACACAAAGTAGCCTCTCTTCGATAGCCAATCAGACCACGAGTTTACCTTTAGCTATGTGATTCTATGTAAACACGTAAGGACGTGCCATGAATCCTTCAGTTAATAATTTGTGCTTTATTGTCATAACTTTAGTACGCTGAATGTTACAGGTGTGATCGATGGCCTTAAGGTAAGCCCTCCTTCATCTCAAAAGACTTTGAGTAGGGCTAATTAAAACTGAAAATAATAAGGTTTTACAAAAGTTTCAAGCTTTTTTATGTCTTTAGGTTTTAATTTTACGCCATGACAATTCTAAAGAGGGTAAAAGAACGGTTTGTCCAGACTACATTGACGTGTTGTATAAAATCACATTAGGGCCGTTTCCTTGAGTGTTGTTTTTTTTTTTTTTATCCCTTGTCACTGCACCAGGATATAACCCATGGCTTTAATGTGTTTGTCTCCATTATCTGCCCAGTAACTTGCCTCATTTCCACACGTGTTGTCGTCATCATGTTTTCCTCCTGTTCCAAACCCGATTCGGGAATCACAGCTATCGTAGTCGGGTTCATTATTTCCAAGGATGCCGATTCTTGCTTTTGAATTGACAAAAGTAGTACCCAAAACATTGAACCCTTCATTGTTACAGTTTCGCTGTAAGGAGGCCTGTGAACCAATCAGCGTCTTCTACTTGTTACGACCCAGTGAGGTGGCGCGGTATTTCCCGTCAGCGATCAGTGAGTACAGAGATTCGGCCTGCTTGTTGATGACAATGAGCTTGATCTGTTGGTCGATCTTCATACCAAGACAGATCTTGAAAAAGGGTGTCTTCCAGTAGGTCGGTAACTTGGTCTCTTGTGAGTCAAACCCAGTCTCCCCTCCAGAAGGATTGTATTCAT